GAAATGTCATGTGCATATATTGAAGTTTGTAGTTTAGTAATACTGACATATGTTTTTGCTTTATGTTTTACTGTTTTGGTGCTTTCCAGAAGATAAACTTGGCCTCTTTGAAATTGCTCTATTTCACAATGGAATTATAAATAGGCAAGGTGAAGTGAAGTATTTGGGGGGTGATGTAGAATTATATGAACGTGTGGATGCTAAGGAAGTCTGTATACAGTTCTTCAAGGATAAGATAAAAGCTCTAGGGTATTCTGAAATAGGAGCCAACATTTATGATTTTACAACTGAAAGCTTGAATTTACTTCAAACTGACTTTGATGTTGCAAACTGTCTAATTAATTCACACAAAGAGGGGAAAATATTAGAGATATGGGTGGAAATAGTGGATGCTACTGATTTTATTGAAACAGAAATAGATTTCTTTGAATCTGAGGGTGAATGGGACAGTGACTTTGAGCTTGAGGTTGAGTGTTTGAACAAAGATGAGAAGTGTGGTGATGGTGGTACTGATGAAGAAGATGGTAAGGGTGAGAAGGCTGTGTTTGAATCTGAGAGAAATAGGAATAGGAAAATGAACAGAAACATAAAGATTGAAAGTGATGTTGAAGATGGTAATGGTGTCATGGTTGAGCTGGAGCCTGACAGGAACAGGAATATAAACATAAAGATTGAAAGTGATGTTGAATATGGTAATGGTGTCATGGTTGACCTAGAGCCTGACAGAAACAGAAACACAACTGATTTTGATGAGATCAACTTCTCTGATGATGCCTCATTAGTGAATTCTGACAGTGATGAAGATAATAAGTGGACTATTTTTAGACCTGCCACTGACATGCAAGATCCACAGTTTACATTAGGCATGACTTTTGCATCTAAGCAACAATTCAGAGAAGCAATTAGAAACTATGGTTTAAAAAATGGGAAAGATATTAGAACTCTTAGAAATGATAAGCAGAGGGTTATAGTTGAGTGTTCACAACATGGTTGTCCTTGGAGAATAGGACTGAGGAAAGTACAGAACTCTTTGTCTTGGAGGATTCTAAACATGGTGGATGTGCATGAAGGTTGTTGTTGGGTTTGGGAGAACTCTTTAGTCAAGGCAAGTGTTGTTGCAAAGAGGTGGTGTAAGGAATTAAAAGACCATCCTGAATGGATGATGAAAAAATTCAGGGATAAGGTGAGCAGTGAAGAGGGTTTCTATCTTAGTAATCAACAAGCCTATAGGGCAATTTGGAAGGCTAAGAAACAAAGACTAGGTGATGATGAAGACAACTTCAAGAAGATTTGGAACTACCATGATGAAATCATAAGGACAAACCCACACACCACTTGTATTGTCAATGACAGAGATTTGGCTGATGGATCTGGGCAGAAGAGATTTTTAAGGATGTATATGTGCTGGGATGCTAGCAAACAAGGCTTTAAGCATTGTAGACCCCTCATAGGAGTGGATGGATGTCACTTGAGATGTTCTACAGGTGGGATGTTACTTACTGCTGTCTCTGTGGATGCTAATGACTGCATCTTTCCCCTTGCATATGCTATTGTAGAAGGTGAGAACAAGGAGTCTTGGAGTTGGTTTCTAAGACTACTCAATGATGATTTGCAGATTTTAGACCACTGTGAGAAGGATTTCTGTTTTATAAGTGATAAACAAAAGGGCTTAATTCCAGCTTTTGTGGCAGTCTTACCTGGAGTAGAGCACAGATTTTGTGTGAGGCACCTACATTCTAATATGAAAGTGGCAGGGTTTCAAGGCAGAGCATTGAAGGATAGTCTGTGGGCTTGTGCTAGGGCAACAACTAAGACTTCATTCAGTACTACTTTAAGCAAATTTAGGGAATTAGATGAAGAAGCATATCAATGGTTAGGTGATAAGGATCCTAAGGAATGGTCTAGATCCCACTTCTCAACAGTTAGCCATTCAGACATGTTGGTGAACAATATTTGTGAGTCATGGAATTCAGCTTTACTTGGGGCAAGGGAGAAGCCTATTATTGACTGTCTTGAAACAATCAGAAAAATGTTAATGGCCAAATTCTTCGAACAAAGACAAAAGGCAGCTGGGTGGAACTCAGTTATTTGTCCAAAAATTGTTGGAAAAATGAAGCAAATTGAGAAGCAAGCTGCTAGATATTTGGCTACCCAGTGTGATTTTTTAAGTTTGAAGTCCAACATCTGTATGGAGACCAACAAGAGGTGGACTTGGAGAACAAAAAATGCTCTTGTAGGAAGTGGGATCTCACTGGCCTTCCATGCAAGCATGCTGTGTGTGCTATTTGGAAAAAGAATGGCAATGGAGCAGTTTATGACTTTGTACATCCATGTTACTCAAAGGAGACTTATCTGAAAATATACAAGGCCTCAATTAACCCTATGGCTGGTCCAGATGAGTGGCCAATCAGTGCCCAATCTCCTCTACTGCCCCCTATCTATTCTGCCAAGGTTGGGAGGCCTAAGAAGCTAAGGAAGAAATCTGCGGGTGAGGATGAGCCTGAGAGGCCAAAGTTGAGTGGGGATGGAGTATATGTCTCAAGAAAGCATATACAATTGCACTGCTCCCTTTGTAAGCAAGCTGGACACAATTCAAGGAGATGTCCATCTAATCCAAAGTAAAAGGTAATTTTTTGTTTACAGTATTTTAATATATGCATGGTTTGTAACTAACAGTATTGTATTGTTTTATGAAGCCAAAGAAGAAGGTGATTTATTCCACTAAACAAATCCCCATCCACATCACTAAGCAGCAGGGAGTGAGTCAAGAGGTTGGGCAGCAGGAGCATGGAGTGAGTCAGCAGCATGGACTTCATGAAGAGGTTGGGCAGCAGCAGCACCATGGAATCAGTCAAGAGGTTGAAGCTCCTGTGCATCAACAGGTTGAAGCTCCTGTGCATCAAGAGGTTGAAGCTCCTGTGCATCATGGAGGCAATGAAGGTCTTGGGGAGCAGCCTACAGTGAGCAAAAAGAAGATCACAAAGAAAAGGAAATCCAACCGTAAGAAACCATATTATACGAGGAGCAAGACAACGATGAAGTCCAAATTTTTTGGAAACATTGATGAGCCAATCAACTTAGACTAGACTGACTTATGTACTACTTTTGTTTTTTGATCACTGAACATAAGCCTTAACTGATGTACTACTTTTGATTACTTTTTGATATTTTTGGATCAGTGATTATAAACCTTAACTGTTCTTGGAATTATTGGAAGTTTGAAGGCAAGAACAATGTGAACATTGTGTTGGTATAATGGAAGTGTGTTTTACTTATAATGGCAGTGTGCTTTAGTTATTTAATGGCAGTGTGCTTTTGTGAATTAGGGCAGTGTGCTTTGGTTATTTAGGCAGTGTGCTTTACTTAAAGTAATGGCAGTGGGGCAGTGTGTCTTGTAAAGGAATGGTTGGTTAATCAATGACAATTCAAATGGCAATAGGATCACTTGTTTACATTAGCAAAAAGATAAGTTCATTACATTACCAATAGGATCACTAACTTACATTGACAAAAGGATGGTACTCATCCACATTGACAAAATGATCACTTCATCTCTTGATTACATTACATTACTGACAACAAAAGCTACAACTACTACAACCAATATTACTACCAATTTGTTCAACCACTTCAACACTTTTCCATCCTCCATCGTCTGACCTTTAAGCTTAGTATTTAGTGTTCTGATTTCTTCATCTTGTCTATTTACGCGTTTTAGCAATCCCGGTATGATTCGCTTCGAACGATAGCAAATTGGAGGATCATACCAATCCACAAATCCACACCCCACCTGACTCTGTATTCACACAAAAAGGAAAAAAAAAAAAAACGAAACTTTACCAAAAAAATAACAAACTGGGATGGTACTGCTTGCAAATTAACCATTAATGAACATACTTGGGAAAATTAACGAACACCATTAACGAATTCGCAAAATCTTGGGAAAGAAAATTTTCTCTTAACCAAAACTAATAATTCTTACTTACCATACTACCACGGCACTGCCAAAATCTCCGACCTGGATTCTCATTTGTCCATGAAGTTCGAATCTTTAATTGATGACCACATCTACAATGGTGAATTGGGAACTTCTCTCCAAATTCATTGTACTCAGTACTCGAAGAAGAAGAAGAAGAACTGTAGAAATTACTCATACTCAAAATGGAGATGGGAATGGCACTGCAAACGGTTCGTTCCCCTCTACTTTCGTTCTTCTCTCCACCCTTCTGTCTGCTCTTGGCCGCGCAAAATTAGGGCTTATAGTAGAACAAAACGCAGGTCTAATAGTCAGGGAGGAAGTCGATTTGGTGAACCGGTTCAAGAACACGGTCCGGTCAATAAGGAGCCGATCTGGAAAAGACTAAATTGCCCCCCACTTTTGTGCCTATTAATTTTTCCGGTCGAATTTGACCGGTAAATTGGTCGAAATGACCAAAATTGAGAAAAATTACATACTCAAGGTGCTAAATTGATACTTTTGAAAGTTAGGTGTGCAAATTAACAAGACCCCTATAGTCGTATGACTAAAATTGAAATTTTCTCTTTTTTTGATCGATTTTCGTAAAGCCTACAAAAAACTTCTTGTAATTTTTTTTTTTTCCTCTTTTCTCTCCTCTCTTCCTTCCAACTAAACTTCTTTCTCCCCCAACTATATATAAAAGTTTCCAAAAACTATTGATAATGATGCTCTAAATTCTCAAATCTCACAAGTTGGCAACTTGGCATATGTGAAATTTTAAGAAAACAAAAACAAAAAAAGTTAGGATTACAAGTCTTCCCATTTCATGCGAGTGTTCAGCCTAAGTAAAAAAATTTGAAAAAGTCGTAAATCACTCGTAAAAACTACATATACGAAAAGGTGGAGTCTGCAAAAAGCGTGGGGTTGGGGGTCGATGCAGCCTAATTCTCGGCAATGTCACTCTCCGACGCCCAAGATACCCAGAAATTCAAACTGTAGGCTTAAATCACCCTCTGCATTTCTCCCTCTCGCTTCGATCCATCATCCACAAAACCCTATTTCCAAATGAAATTCCAAATCCCAGATGTTTCAATATCTCAATTTTCAAATCCAAGCTCAGCGATCAGCTTCACCCTACAAGTAAGCTCACTCACATGCAATCGTGTGTTACTTTTAGTCTTTTTAATTCTTAAAATTGAATTTTTCTTTAAAGGGTTTCATCATTCATAGTTGTGGACATCCTCTGTTTATCTGATCTGCTTGATTTTGTTTATCTTTTTTACTCAGTTTTTCCTTATTCTTTGATTACGGGTCTGATGTTGAGCTATTCTGATTTCAGATTGGCCGATCGGTTCACTACAGGCCCCATTTTGTGAATTCTACACAAGATTGTTTTTCTGTGTGTATATGTTGTTAAGAGATTTGTGTATCAAAGGGAGTGTTGATTGCTCATTCTTTCTTCTCCATACGTCTATACTTTTCTTGTGATGAATAATACGTATATAAGCTGAATTTAGGAATAGAGGGAAAAGGACTGCATTAAACAATATTTTGATTTTTGGTAACAAGGAGCTGTTATTTACTGGAAATTTTGCATCTATATATTTGATGAGTGCCAATTGTTGGTGTGATATAGTTTGTGGTTTCAGCTGGTGTAAGAAGAAGCTGGTATTAAGTACCATTTTCAAATAGACAGTCACTGGGGTTTTTTACTGTTGGTGTTTAGCTTGCAAAGTTGGGGGAGCGTGCAGGGTTAGGGTGTTGAGATATCATTCCAATGCAGATAAATAGGTCTAATGATTTAGCTGTAGCCATGAGTGGTGGGGCAACTCCTCCTTCTGGTCAATGGATCCAACAAGAATCATTGCAACCTGTTAGCCTGAGTGATGCTTTATATCTTAACAATAATGTAAATAATAATAATAATATATGTGCACAGATGGGCAAGGTGTTTCCTACAGAATTCCTTCAGGATTTTTCCTCTTCATGTGTAGTTCCTCCTGCTGTGATTGGGGTTTCTCAGAAACTTGATGAGAGTGTTAAACCTCATAGTAACCAGAACAAGCATATGGGCTCTGAGGAGCTCGGAAGAGTTCTTGGGCTCACACAAATGGACTCCGAATGTGGTTCTGGCACATCTGAATATCTTTCTGCAAGAGGATCTATGACTGAGCTTGATAATGCACTTTGTGTGAAGAATCAGCATGGGTATCAGAAAAGTGATGGTTCTTGTGAGCATGCGCCTTGGAAAGCTAATCCTGAGTTATGCTATGATCAAGCTACTAAAATGCAATTTACCCCCAAAATAGCTATGTCAGAACCAGGTGCTCCAACCTTGACAGAATCTGAATCCTTCCAGTCATTGCAATGTATGGGATTAGGATCTTCTGACTCTTCTCAAACAGGAAAAGTTAAGTTTCTCTGCAGTTTTGGTGGTAAAATATTACACAGGCCAAGTGATGGGAAACTTAGATATGTTGGTGGAGAGACACGTATCATTTCCATGAGAAAGAATCTTTCACTGGAAGAACTTATGAAGAAAACTTTTGCAATATGTAAACGGCCTCACACAATAAAGTACCAGCTTCCAGGGGAAGATCTTGATGCCCTTATATCAGTGTCTTCAGATGAGGATCTTTTGAATATGATAGAGGAATATCACGGGCTTGAGAAGCTTGATGGTTCTCAAAGACTCCGTGTGTTTTTGATTCCCTTGGCTGAATCTGAAAACTCATGTACCATAGATGCCAGCACTATCCAACAGAGTGACCCTGACTATCAGTATGTTGTTGCCATCAATGGTATCACTGAGGCTGATCATATACCACATAAAAACTGTATTGAGAAGCATTTAGGTGAAGCAAGCCATTTGGTTCCTAATATTAATCATTTGAGCATTCAGAATGAATCTTCTCCTGTCATGCAGCCTGGAGAACTAAATGATGGCCTTGAGCCAAATATTGCATGGTTGATGAGTGAAGCTCCAAGTAAAGTTAGGTTCCCTAATCAATCTACACCCTTTGTTCCTATGCTTGTTCAACAGGGGCATGAAAAGAGTGAAACTATAAAGTCTCACAATGGTAAATTGTCACATGGTACTGTTGAAGGTTTGACATTATTTGACAGCAATCAAGTACTATCTGAAAACTCTGACAATGGTAGTGCTGCTTGTATTTCTGGTCCCCAAGTAGCAGTAAATTTTATGGCTTTGCAGAATACTTCTGGAAAAGTTGGTACTCTCCTGCCAAGTGAACAGAGTGAATATCTTATGCTCCATCACAATCCCAGCAGGGAGTTTGTTGTTTCCTCTTTTGAACATTATAATGGCAATTTTGAAAGATCAGGTCCCAGGGAGATGGTGTTTTCTTCTGCAAAACTTGATGTGCCAGTGCATATACCAGGATCCAATGATTCTATTGGTTCTTATAATGGGCTTGTGCATTGCTTTTCTGATTCCAAGCTTCAGGAACATGGGAATAGATCTGCTTACAGCTCTCAAGAATTAATAAGTCCTCCTTTAAACTTATCAAGCGCTCAATTATCTTCACAAGTAGTATCTGCTGCTCTGCTAGAAAAGCCTGTTTTACTGCCGGAAAATGCTGACTTTGCAAATTCTCAGCTTCATTTCAGGGTGCAGAATGCGGAGTCCACTGTCCCCAATGGTGCAGTGGATTTACTAAAGTATCCTTTTGTCTCAGAGCCATTTGCCCAAGGTGAATTTGTCCAAAGACATGTCAGCGATGCTGATCTCAGGTGCATCTCAGAAAAAGAAGATTTGAAGAAGTGTCCTTCAGTGTTGGACATTCATGGGGAGGAAAATCATTCAAACTCTGTAATGATAAATGGGCCTGACGTCAATGGCCTTAATGGAAAAGTTTCTCAGAGTACATCATTTGCAATCCCTGTTGATCCTACTAAAAACTTTTTGAAGATCAGTTCTGATCTAGTGACTAGTATTGGAGGTGAGAAACCAGCATATGAAACGCTGATCCCCAAGTCCAATTTTCCTGAATCTACATCGATAGATTTGGAACCTTTAATTTGTAGAATGAACAAGCAACCCCAAAATAATCAATTGGAGGAACTCTTAACTGAAATGGAGAAGGATGAACCTGATTCAAAAACAGTCAACTTGGGAATTGCAAGGACTACTCAAAGTTCTGGCATGCTCCTTTCTGGTGCAGATGGCCTAATCGATCTACTTTCTGAGTTGCCTAATGGTCCAGTTGCTCATGATTGCCCAATGCAACCACTTGTTGCATGCACAAATGACAAGGATTTTGGAGAGACATTGCTTATAAGTTGTGGGGACGTGCATCCACCTTCAATCATTGATGATAGAAACCTGAGCATGACCTTACATAGCTCTGCTTTGTTGAAGAATCATGTGGATGCAATTGCTAATGGGAGAGAAGTTTCACTCCTAGATGATGAATATGCCAATTTCACTGGTTATGCTGAAAAGTCTACCCCCCTTAACAAGTGTCCTAATGAAAATGATAAGATATTGGATGGTTTGCTTTATACATGCTTCAATGGATGTCCGAATTCCTTGGCCAATGACAAAGATTATGTATCACCAATTGGTGAATATTCTCCTGCAAGTGTCCATGGTGTAAGCGCAGTAGGTGATCAAGTCTTGTCACCTGGTGCAATAGATGGGGATGCATTTGCTCATGACATGGGATTTGGGGTGATATATTGTTCTTACATTGACGATTTGATTTTATTTTGGTCTGAAACTAAGTTTCAGAAAAAAGATTACACATTAAAATACAGAGTTTCTAAAATTTCTTATCTGCATGTGTCTATAAGTTTATGTTGCTGGCTTGCTTGTAACAGGATGGCATCCAGAATGATGGAGATGGAGATAAGGGCGACTTGATTACAGATGCAATGATTGCTGAATTTGAAGCAGATTTATTTGGCTTGCAGGTAACATGCATACACATTAACAACAACAACAACAATAATTACTGTTTCAATGTATGTGTGGTTTTAAATTTATTTCTGTCTTTCTGATCATTGGTGAGGCAATAACTACTCATCACAACAACAACAATAATGAGGGAATAAAAAAGGAGCAGTCAATTTTTTTTCAGCTAGATACTAGAGTCTTATTCCTTATTTAGTGCTTCCTATTACATGATTTAAACTTAAGCAACAATTATACACTGGGATGTGCATGCTTTTACTGCGTAATATTATTGTTAACATGGAAAATTGATATTTTAAATTGACATTGCAGATTATAAAAAATGCTGACCTTGAAGAATTGCGGGAGTTAGGAGCTGGTACATATGGAACTGTTTACCATGGAAAATGGAGAGGAACAGATGTTGCTATCAAACGACTTAAGAAAGCATGTTTTTCTGGGAGATCATCTGAGGAAAAACGTTTGGTGGGTGATGTCTTACAGTCCTTCACTCTCTCTGTGCTTCATGCTTTTGTGGACTAATCATTATTCGAATTTGAATTATTTCTTCCTTTAACAGATTAAAGACTTCTGGAGAGAAGCTCAGATCCTTTCAAATCTTCATCATCCAAATGTGGTTGCATTTTATGGAGTAGTACCAGATGGGGCTGGGGGAACATTAGCAACTGTGACTGAGTTCATGGCAAATGGGTCACTCAGGAGTGTCCTACATAAAAAGGATAGGTATATAAGCTTCCATCTTTTCCATATTCCTTCTCATAACAATCTTGTTCAGATTTAAATTGAAGCTTGGAAATTTTAATTTCAGATCACTTGATTGGCGTAAGAAACTTCTAATTGCCATGGATGCAGCTTTTGGTATGGAGTATTTGCACTTGAAGAACATAGTCCATTTTGATCTGAAATGTGACAACTTATTAGTTAACCTAAGGGATCCACAACGACCCATATGCAAGGTATTTTTTATCCTTCTAGTGTTGTTTTAAATAGTCTGCTGATTTTAGGCCCTTCTAGGAAGAAATTCAGAGAGGAATCTGAGGACTTCATACTAGTTTCGTTGCCAACGTTGTAATGAATTCTGGACCATTATGTTTACTAAATTAAGATAAGCACATCCTTTGTGGTTTTCCCAACAGTTACAACATTGATTATGTGGACTCTCCACTTTTTCATTGGATAAAGTTCATTTATGGTGACTCCAAAATGTTGAAATCCAACGTGGACCTTTAGCAGGGAAGTTGAGATAATCAAGTTGGCCAGATTAATGATTTCCCTTATTTTCTTGTGCATGAGAAAGAATTTTCACCAAGTTGGCCAGTTAAGACGTGCATTGGTAATTTGGTCTAGGAACCATCAGTCATTCATAATGTTATTCAGTTTCCAACTTTCCATCCATCAATCTTAATAAAGAAACTGCCTTTCCTAATTTCTGATGCTTAAGAAATACATTTGCAGGTTGGTGACTTTGGACTATCCAGAATCAAGCGCAACACTCTAGTATCTGGTGGTGTGCGAGGAACTCTTCCATGGATGGCACCAGAACTTTTAAATGGTAACACTAACAAGGTGTCTGAAAAGGTTAGACTTATTACTCCATTTCCATCTATTATGTAGGATATTAGGTTTCTTAAGGATGTCAAAGTAATTTTAGTTATATGGCACTTTTGCCAGGTAGATGTCTTCTCTTTTGGCATAACAATGTGGGAAATCTTGACTGGGGAAGAACCATATGCAAAAATGCATTGTGGGACAATCATTGGTAAGTTTATCTGATTAAGCCATAATGACATGTTAATGATTCTGTTTTAGAACCTCAATTATTATTGGCATGTGAATAAGAAATATATTATTACATGCTTTAGCAGACCTTTGTTTGATATTCAAATCATACCAGCAATTAATTTTTGGCACTAATTCCACTAGAACAATAACTTACTTGGACTGAATTTTTTAATGCATTCAACTAAATAGTTTAATTTTGTGGTACAAACTCCGTTGTTTCTTTGCAACCTGATTTTGTAGAGTGTTTCTTTGGCGTAGAGTAATGATTATACTTGATAATAACTGTGCTCTTTAGCTAATGATCAAACTGCTCATGCAACTAGATTCTACTTAGTCATATGATTAAATGATAATAATGTTTGTCCTTAGGTTCTGAATATCCATGCAGTACTCTAAACTATTTAAATTCTCTCTACTTTTCAATAAAATTTTAGGACTTAATTAGCTTCTTTGCTTGTGAGCATTTCCCTTCTTTTTCTCTTAGCCTTAGCCTCACAACCAATGTTATAGAAGGCGCTAGGCGCTAGTCGGGTGACCGGGGGTGCCTAGTGCCTAGGCAGCCGATTAATAATAATAAGAAAACCAGCACACCAAAAAAAAAAAAAAAAAAAAAAAAAAAAAACACGGCCAAGTTGGCCGACTCGGGCACCTAATGTCCACCTAAGGGTAAAATCCCCTTTGGCCTAGGCCGATTTTTGCAACAATGCTCACAACAAAAAAGGGAAAGGAAACACAATTCTAATTGCTCTGCCTCCTTTTCTCTGGTTTGTAATGGTTGTAGGCGGAATTCTAAAGAACACCCTTCGACCTCCCATTCCAGAAAGGTGTGATCCCGAGTGGAGGAAGCTAATGGAACAGTGTTGGCATGCCGACCCTGAATCACGACCATCCTTCACTGAGATCACAGATAGGCTAAGGTCTATGTCTGCAGCTCTTGAGACTATGAGAAATGGCAATTTAGTAAAACAGATGAAGTCTGCCTGACATTGCTGTGTGATTCAAATGATCGAATGCATGTATCTGCTAACATCGGGTAAAATGGTAGTCGGTGGAATGCACTTCAAAAGCTGCTATGATAGGTGGAAGGGAAGTTTGCAGCACAAGTAAAATATTTATATATAGTCTTTCTGTAAATAGTGTTCTCTCAGATATAATTATTAGCTTCTTTGGCTTTTTTGTTTTGGCTTCATTTTTTCATTCTTTAGAAAATAGAAAAATGAACCCCTTTTTTTCATGGTCATGGTGCAAGGAACAAAGGAGCCTTTTGCTTATCTGTTTGGGTCAGGATGAGCAGTCTTGGACGATAGGTGGATGGTATATATGTATGTTTATGTGTATATTGACGGATTTTCATTTTCTTCTGCCAAGGACACTTGGATTATCCTAAAATTGTTGCTAATAGTAAAAGTTTTTGGTGAATGCTTTATTTTGTAATGCCTTATCATTATAGTTACAATGATGGTCGTTTCCTCGACTGCTCCCATTACACATTCCGTTCCGGTGGCAGCAAAACAATCATACTCGTATTGATCCCAAGATTGCCAATGGTTTAGTGGACAGTATTTGAGATAAGAGATCAAAGTTTCAAATTCGGTAGCAGTTTTTCAATGGTTTAGTTTTAATAGGCAGTATTTGAAATAAGAGACCAAGGTTCGAAACTCGGCAGCGGTAGTGTGGGGATTATGTCCAAGAATGGACAGATCCTTTATGTGCACCGACATTTGGTCAATGGTCATGTCGACCATGCACTATCAGGTTCGAGCGTGGAGGCTTTTAAAGTTGCGGATTCAACCTTTTTTGGAGAATATTGCCCGTGCATATACTTTAGCATTGCAGTTTTTGTGTTTGTTGCAAACAGTTTCACACTTAAATTTATACTCAGAAGTAACTTGTAAAATATGATAGGTGCGTGATCCCATTGAACCGAACCGGGTAAATAATATTGTGCACCAGGGTGCACAATGCATTGTGCATCCTGACCAAAACGACGTCGTTTTGTATCTTTTTTTTTTTTTAGAAATTTCGTGTCCCGTTTTCTGTTTTTGCCATTAACTTCTAAAAAAAATTCATGTTTCGAATGTACATAAACTCATAATAGAATACACATAAACTCATAACATAATGAGTAAATACCCAAAATGGTCCCTCGACTATAGCTAAATTCACAAATTGGTCCTCGACTTTCAATTTCAACCAATTAAGTCCTTAACTTTGTAATTTTGACACGATTTGGTCCTCCATCTATTTGACCGTTTGTTGACCGTGATCGACGATCTCCAGAAGAACCTTCAGCTCTCATTGGAGCACGTGGAGGCCTCCAGGATGACGTTGCACTGGTTCGGAAACACGTCGTCTTCTTCGCTCTGGTACGAACTCAACTGCATTGAATCCAAAGGGAGGACGAAGAAAGGCGATCAGATTTGGTAGATTGCTTTCGGCAGTGGATTCAAATGTAACAGTGCGGTCTGGAAATGCAACTAGAACCTTAAAAAACTGACGATAGACCATGAAATTACATATATATCCTCAAAAATCACAGTCAACAAACGGTCAAATATACAGATGACCAAATTGTGTTAAAATTACAAAGTTAAGGACTTAATTGGTTGAAATTGAAAGTCGAGGACCAATTTGTGAATTTAGCTATAGTCGAGGGACCATTTTGGTATTTACTCTAACATAATAAACATAATCTAACATAATACATAATACACAAACGCATAACATAATACACATAAACTCTTAACAGAATACACATAAACTCTTAACATAATACTTATAAACTCTTAACATAGTACACATAAACTCTTAACATAAAAAATGACGTCGTTTTGGACAAGGCGAACAACGCATTGTGTGCCTTGGTGCACGATATAACGAATGACCGAACCGATGCTATAACTGTAATGCATTGTTTAGGTAGGCCAAATTATAATGGACCAACCAAAGCCAATGCAATCGGGTCAGCAAATTATATCGTGCACCGCGGTGCATAATCGATTATGCACCGCACATCGAAACGACATCGTTTTATTTAATGAAAAGAAACGCCATCTGTTTCGCTCCGTTTTGCGCCATTCCGCAAAAAGTAACTGTGTTATTTAGTTTCATTTTGTATATATTGTAGTTTCATTTTGATATAACTATAGTTTCATTTCAATATAACTACAATTTCATTTCATATTATAACACCCAAATATGTGAAAATGTTATTTAATTTTATTTTATATACACCATAGTTTCATTAAAACACAAATACATGATCATTTTGATATAACTACAGCTTCATTGCATAATATACACTCAAATATGTGAAATGTTATTCAGTTTCATTTTATATACACTATAGTTTAATTTCAACACAGCTACAGTTTCATTTCAATTCAATTGCAGTTTCAGTTGATAATATAAAAATAATACGTGAGACAATGTCAGTTTAGATCCATTGTAAATTCATTTCAACACAACTACAGTTTCACTTCAATTCAATTACAGTTTCAGTTGATAATATATAAAATAATACGTGAGGCAGTGTCGGTTTAGATACACTGTACTGTCAATTGATAATTAATACACCAAATATGCATGCTCCGTTAACTATAACGGCGCGCCGTTTCTTTACTTAAAGAAACGACACCGTTTTGACCGCGGCCAACGATATAACGATTGAATCGGGTTCCGCCAGTTTACATACTAAATGTTCACAATTTGAATTGTGAAAATTTAATATGTAAATTGTTAACATTTAGTACGTAAAATTATGAACATTCAGTATGTAAATAATGAACATTATATTCAGTACGTATATTGTATATTTTTAAACATTGGTCCACCTTGCAAGGTGGACCTAGGTCCATAGAATAATTTGCCAATCGGGCTTTGAATAAAGCCTAAAACTACGGCATTTCAAAGGGCAAATTTTTTAGTGAACCATAAATACAAGGTACATTTTTAATATACTAAAAGTACATTACTTTTGTATTGAATATATATTATTTGATAGTATATAAAATAATGTACTTTCAGTACTCAAATAATATACTTTTTCATGAATATAAGATTCATTTTAAGAGTTAATTATTTGTGTACTGAATGCACATTATTTGATAGTGATGGAGAAATAGGACCCCGGTGCCCATTTTATTGGATAAGTCTTGTTGGGCAAGGAAAATCTTGGCCCAAGAGAGGGTGGTAAAGGAAAGATGTTGGCCCAAATCTTATCAGGCTGGGATGACATGGAGGCAGGCAGGCAAGCAAGCACGGAGGCCAAGGAAGGAGGCGTGCAAGGCAGGTGAAGAGGTAGTGCAAGGGGAGAGAAAGCGGTGCAAGGCGAAGGAGGGGGCGGGCTAGCTAATGCGCTGGTTGCCCAAGGCCAAGGCGCCCCTCGCACCTCGGCAGCGCACCCGGCCGCCCAGGGTGGCGGCTGGTCGTGTCGCCACCTAGGCAGCCTGCCTAGGCGCGCGTTCGCGCGGCCTGCTTTGGTGCACGGGTGCAGGGGCGCGCGCTGACATGCCCTGTCTTGGTGCGCGAGCGCGGAGGCGTGCGCAGGTCCCGCAGGTCTCTCCGTGTTCCTTGGGCACGTGGCGCCTGGCAAGTGGAGGGGGAGTTGTGGCGGCTGCACAATAGGACTACGTGGGACGCGTGTCTGGTGGGAGTTGACGCTACCTAGATGTTGTACACGTGGAGGCCGCTATTTTGGGCGGGTGTTTTTGGGCTTTGTACTTATTTCTATTGGGCCTCATGTCCCGATAATAAAAGTATTATTTTCTTGTCCCGTGCTATACTGTTATACCCGGTTTATGTGGACCTGGTTCCGATAAAATCATAAAATAGTGTATAGAATAATGTACTTTTCAGTACTAAAATAATGTACTTTTCATTAATACAATGTATATTTTTAATATACTAAAAATATATTATTTGTGTATTGAATGTACATTATTTAATAGTATACAAAATAATGTACTTTTAGTATTCAAATAATGTACACCATGGTTCATAGAATAATGATTGATTTCAATGGGGTAAATCATACAATGGACAAAGGTTCACCTATAAATTGAAAACACATAATATGCATTTAATATATTATGCATTTGCAATTAACATATTATATATCTGTAATTAATAAATTACGGAGTATGTCTTTAATTTATTTACAAACAAGTTAATACCTAATTTAGTCATTGACTATAGTGGTTTTCCTCAATTTAGTCCTAAATGACTTTTTGTACTTAATTAGGTCATTGACTTCGATGGTTTTACCCAATTGAGTCCTCGATTATTAGAATCAATGACTAAATCGATAAAAACCACTATAGTTGATGACTAATTTGGGTAAAACCACTATAGTCAGAAATTAACTTGGGTAAAACTACTAAAGTTAAGGACAAAAATACTAAATTGAGTATTAATAGATGTGAAATTACCAAGTTATCTTAACAGATGACTCAATTCGATAAAATCATTAAAATCGAGGGTCTAATTAAGTACAAAAAGATATTTAGGATTAAATTAAAGAAAATCACTATAGGCGAAAATTAAATTAAGTATTAACTTATTTACAAAGACATAATTTATTATATGTTAATTGAAAGTACACCTAATTTTTCCTTAAAAAAAAAAAAAAGAATAAAAAAGGGAAAGAAAGTACACCTAATTTTTTAACTTGATCTATGGTGTAACAAGTGTCAAATGGGATCCGTATGAAGTATGGACTGTGATTGCTAATTTCTTTTGTTCTTCTCAAAAGGTTGAATTCCCGACTCTAACTTTCTAAGGGTCCTTAATTTCTCGATTTGACAGAGTATCTAGGAAGATGTAAATCATGATAAATTAACCAGGACTATATGGTCTAATGGTATCCGGGTTGGACTTCCATTTGGAAGATTATGAGTTCAAGCCTCAGTGGAGGCGTTATTGGTTCTTTGTGTTTCAGTAGGTTGAGAAAGTATATGAACAGATACTACAATGTAATAGAGCCAGTAACTTTCAAAAAAAACTGACTGGCGCTGATGAGACTAGATCCCTAGTCATTCTTTCCAAATTTCACCTCTATGACCAGGGCAATTTATATCATGCACCAGGGCGAGCATTGCATTGTGCGCCCTGATACAAAATGACGTCATTACAGTTTTTTTTTTTTTTTTTTTTTTAAATTTCGCTACCTTGTGTTGGCGGTTAATTTTCTTTAAAAAAAGTCTCATGTTCAAGAATGTACATAATTTTATACTAGAATACATATAATTGTATACATGAATGTACTATGTACATAATTGTATAACAAAATACACATATTTTTTTTTAAAGATAAAACACATAATCTAACATAATACATAATATCCATAAACTTTTAACATAATATACATAAACTCTTAACATAATACACATAAATTTTATGTTTCAGATGTACATAATTGTATAAAA